TCATTCGAAAGATTATGATTTAATACATCTATAGAAAAAAAATCAGATTTTTTTACCACACCGTTTAAGAGATATAATTAATTAAAGCTTTGCAAAAATACACGGTCTCTTATGAGTGTCCTTGTTCAATAACTCCGGAAATGGAGGATTTATAAAAAATCGGCCAACTTGACCCAATAAAAAAAACTTTCCAATAGATAGAACAATGTTTCATACATATTCTATCAAAATTTGATAACGATTTACCACATAGTTTTAATTTAATTAATTTTTTAATATCAAAAATTGGTTTCTATCTTTGTTGTTTGTCGGAGACATTACTCCTCCATCTTTATTAGGGAAAAAATGGCGACTTCTCGGTGCGCGGCAAATTTGAAATTGAAATATAATCATAAAGTTTTTTTGCATTAAAATAAATTGTTATTAAACATACATTAAAAGTTCACGTAAATTATAGCAGATTTAATATATTGAAGTGACATTTGCAAATTTAAACAATAAATGAACACCATGAGCAACTGTTTTAACTACCGACCTTACATAACCTACTACAGATGTTATTGTTTTGTAACAGCCCAGTACTTGTCAGTTGATATTTTAATAGTTATATTATTATAATTATTTGACCATAATTATGAATTGAATTTAATCAATTAAATTCTGATTAGAAATAATTTTATATTTTATACTATTTTTCGAGTGATCTCTTGCAAAAAACAAAAAAAAAAATATCTATTGACTTCGGGATGCGGAGATCAAACTACCTTAAAGACTGTTTTACTTGTGGTCAGCTAAAGAACACAATTGACTATAGAATCAGCTGTCTTAAAGCTCTATTTACAAATAAATTTTACATAGCTGCTCAAGTGACAGAAAATTTCTCCAACTTTCAGCCGAACAAAAATTAATTATAATTAAACAAAACAATATTAAGTTGCAATTTTTAATCCTTCACTTCTTATAAAGTAGATGAAGAGATTAAAAAATAAATTGAGTTAAAAAAATTATTTTTTAAGAAGTTATTGTGTTTGTCTCTTTATAAAAATTTGAAAAATCTACACTATAAGCCATTAAAACCACTTTTTTGTGTAAAAATGGCAATTAATCATTTTAAAAAAAATTTTTATAAATTCAGCGATCATTTTTCTATCTAACAGTGTGCTTTTTGTATCATTCATATGTACAATATGACTATCAGGTATGATTTAATGTTATAAACCATTGAAATCTTAATTTTCATTGCAAAATCTTAAAATGTTAAATCACAAGAGAGGATTTTAAACCAAGATAATTATTTTTAAAAATTATATTTCACCAAAAAATCAATGATAAATATTGTCAAATTGTAAAATTTAGTTTATCTTATTTGAAATAAATTTTTCTAAAAACTAATTTTTGATGCCCCATATCTTTTTTAAAAGCACATCCAATTTTTCCACTCGTGATCTTTTTACTTTGATGCTCATAATATCCGTAAAAGTCTTTGAATAATAAGTAAGAAATCGGATTTGCGTTGGAGAGAAGAAAAAAAGGTAAAATTTGAATTCCCGAAGCATTTTCTTAGCATCATCAAAGGCATGGAAATTTAGATAGCTTGCTACTCGCTAGACCGAATCACTTGGAATTAATTGGAACTTATAGGTCTTCATCGATCGGTGAAATCAATCCCTCTAAAAAATTCCGTTGGTAATCACGACATGGGATGCACCGTAAAAAAATAATAATAACGAATTTTTTTGAAAGATAAATATTAAAAACTCGTAGAAAAATTTTATTCATTTATGAGCCGGATTGTTGGGGGATTACGAGGCGATAAAACTAGTTAATCTAAGTGTTGGCGTCTCCATGGGATTCTCTGGTGCATAATAAAACAAAAAATACTTTTATTTACGTACGTGTAATACCAGGACGGGAAAAAAAAGTTGAAAGATTAAGAAAACCGGCATGATGTCTGCAGTACAAGCCGCGGCTAAGTAATCTTGTATCATACCGGTAATTACCGTGTCTAGAAAGGCTAATTAGAGATGCACGCGAGTTAAATTGCAGCTCATCGATCTTTTTCATGCCCTTCTTTTACGTAATTTCTCAATAACAATTACGTATTATTTATTACTTTTATGCGCTATTAATATTTGCAATCCTTAGAAAAGTTGCAACATTGTTTGTCACTCCGGCGCCCACTCGTCGAAAATTGTTTTCCGGTTTCGGTATGTCGTGGGCATTGAGCATTGTTGCTCATCACAATGTGTAAAAGTCTCCTGTAATTGTTTAACCAATAAATTGACAATTGTAGTGGTAATGAGGAGGATGATACTTTTTTCTATTATAATATCCATCATCATTATTATTGTTTCGTATATTGAGAACCGAATGATTGCTTACCGGTTTTATTGATTAGTTATAGTAGTTCGGTGAGTGAAATTATAGTTTCCGTTTTTTTGTTGTTGCTTTTCTTACTTTTAGTGTTCTTCCTTTTGTTGTTTTTGTTCCTTTTTGTATTGTTATTTCTCACCTTTTGTTGTTCTCATCTTTGTGGTAATTTTTTTTTTGTTTTTGTTCCTTCTCCTATAATTCGGGGTTTCCTCCTTATAAGTTATGCCTTTTCCTATTCTTATTGTTCCTTTTCCTACTGTTCATATTTTTCTCTTTCTTTTTCCTATTTTTGTAACTTCTGTTTTTCATACAGTTTCTATTTCTTTTGTTAATATTTCATTTCCTATTCTTGTTGCTCCTTTTCCTATTGTTAGTGTTCCGTTTGATATTTTTTTTTCGTAATGCTATTGTTTCTTCTCCTATTTTTCCTCATTTTTTCTGTTTTTTTCCACATCATTATTTCTTCTATTGTTTTTCTTTCTATAGTTGTCGTTCCACCTACTATTGTTAGCGTTCCTTGACCTATAGATGTTTCTTACCTTCCTGTCCCCTTCGTTTTCCATTTATTGCAATTCCATTCCTTTTTTTTGTTGTTCCTTTCTTTTTTCCTATTCCTATTTACTTCTGTTTAATAAGTTCTTTTTGTTCCTATTCTTAGTGTTCCACTTCATATTGCAGTCCTCTTTTTATTTTCTTGTGTATTACCCATTATTAATGTTCCGTTTTTATTGTTGTTTCTTGTCATATTGTTAATATTATTTCTCCTATTATCAATGTTCATTTCCCTACAGTTTTTTTTCTATCCTATTGTTGTTCTATCTCATTTTGTTCTTCCTTTTTTTCCTATTATTAACGTTTCACTTCTTATTGAAGTTCCTTGTTTCATTGTTAATGTTCCTTTTCCTATTGTTAATGTTGTTCTCTTCATTTCTCCTTTTATTGTTACCCCTCTTCTTTTATTAATACTTCTTTTCCTATTCATGTTGTTCTTTTTCATATCGTTAGTGTTCCGTTTGATATTGTTTTTTTCCTAATGCTTTTGTTCCTTTTGTTTTGCCTCATTTTTTCTACTGTTTCTTTCCACATCATGATTTCTTCTCCTATTGTTCGTGTTCTTTGTCCTATAATTAGTTCTCACCCTCTTGTTCTCTTTCCTGTTACTTGTATTGTTATTCCATTCCTTTCTTTTTTACTGTTCCTATTTTTCCTGTTAAATAAGTTCTTTTTGTTCCTATTGTTAGTGTTCCATTTTTATTGTTGTTCCTTGTCATATTGTTCTTGTCATAATGTTCCCTCTCCTATAAATAATGTTCCTTTCCCGATAGTTTATTTTTCTTATCCTCTTATTCATTTACCATTTATTGTTGTTCCATTACTTTTTTTTCTGTTGTTCCTATTTTCTTCTATTCAATAAGTTCTTTTTACTCCTATTATTAGTGTTCCACTTCTTCTTGCGGTTCCTTTTTTCTTTTATTGTTTATTTCCTATTATTAGTGTTCTATTTCATTTTGTCGTTCCTTTTTTTCCTATTATTAACGTTTTACTTCCTTTTAATGTTCCACTTTTATTGTTGTTCCTTGTCATATTCTTAATGTTCCCTCTCCAATGAACAATGTTCTAATCCCTATAATTTTTTTCTTATCCTCTTTCTTCCTATTTCTTTTTCCTTTTACTTTTATTGTTGTTCCATTTTTCTTTTTTGTTGATCCTTGTCATATTGTTAATTTTCCCTCTCCTATTATTAATGTTTCTATCCCTACAGTTTTTTATCCTCTTGTTGTTCTCCTCCCTTTCATATTTATTATTGTTCTATTTCATGTTGTTCCTTTTTCTCCTATTATTAACATTTCACTTTTTATTGATGTTTCCTATTTTATTGTTAATGTACCTCTTCCTATTGTTTATCTTCTTCCTATTAATAACAATAATTTTCTTTCTTTTCCTATTTATGTTCCTTCTCTTTTCCCTATTGTTTCCTTTCCTGGCATTAATCATCTTAGTGTTATTATTGCAATCTAAAATTTCCAAAAACGCAAACTACCAAGCTTCCGTTTCTTAAAATAACTTCTTTAAACACCTAACTCAATTCTACAACATACATCTAAAAATAGCACAATATAATCACACAATACCCATATTATAATTGCGATTGTGATGAATGACGGGTCAACAGAGTTATTTGACGATGCAGGAGTGTCTTATATTACTCTCCTGTATTCATTATAATTTATACTGATAATGATAATGATGATCTGAGTTTTATTGTTGGTATAACTTTCAGTTATTTGTACCACGTGGTTGCCTCGGTTAAACGGTATTTAGTTTTGTCTACACTGAATTGTGATTGGTATCAAGTATAAACGGTGAATAAACCGGAACAATTGACGTTTAAGGTCTGATAGGTCGAAATAATTTTTTTTCCGCTACCAACAATCGCTTTATATTCTTTATAAGGTAGTACAAATTTATTAGGAGTATTTTTAAATTTTTGTTAATAATTAATTTAAAAGTTAAAAAAATATAAATTAAATCACAGCACATGCAAGTTATCTATATTTATAAATTAAATAATTTTTTTTTAATTCCAGCTATAATCATTATGGTATGAACTGGATGATCACAAAACCATGAAGCTCCTCGTGCTCGCGTTTATAATCCCCCTGGCGCTGGGTCTGACATTTCAAGAAGACGACCTGGTGTTTGACGACGTGAGCGATGATTCTCAGCCTATATCGTCAGTGTCACCTTTAATTAACCAGCCATCCGAGCCTCATCAACCTCAGCCTCCTCAATCACAATCTCACCCCTCAACGGGCTCGAAAATAATCGAGAGCACCAGCCAGAGCCCCTTTCCAGAGGCTAATGTAACCACCACCGTTGGGCATGTTTTCAGATTCAAAGTACCAAAGCACGCCTTCGGTGGGAGCGTAAATCACTACGAGGTAAGTGGTCATTGTTTCTCGAGCTCGATTTGGCGATCAGCCAGCTGAAGCTGGGTCGGGGATATTTTTCCGATCTGTATGACCTGGAAAATATTCCGCCTACTCGATATTAAAATATAGAAATAAATAATAAAAAATAAACAATAAATGTCTCCAGATACGGAGCAGTAACAACAAGCCGTTGCCTCACTGGCTGTTTTACGATGAGGCAACGACCACTCTGCTGGGTGTGCCCGCTAAAAAAGATGTAGGCCAGCATCATTTATCCATAAAGGCTTATTATACGTACGGAGATGTCGTTGAGAGTTTATTTACCGTCAAGGTCCTTCCGGAAAAGACTGATGAAGTTAAACATAAGGATGGAAAGGTATCAAGCTGTTGTTGTTATTAGTAGACTTTATAAAAATCTAATTAAGGTAAAGTACCCAGTAGTTGAACAGGTTTCAAAGTAAAATGCATTTGACCCTACTTTTAATATACAAAGATGTAATTATTAGAAAATTAGTGATTTTCATGGAAATATAAATAAATTTTAAATTGAAGCGCAAAATAACAAAAATAATTTATATTTTGACAACGTTGTTAAGATAGACTATCAAAGAAGTAGTATATTGTTAACTACACTAATTTTTAGCTATTAAACTTATTTAATTTGCAGTAATTAATACAAATCACAATGCTGACCACTAGTCTATAAACCTATTAGAGATTAGAGTGCTGTTAAAATTATACGGCCCCAGCTTGTTCAGGTTATGGGTACCGCTTTGAAAATTTGGAGGTATAGTTAGACGCTAAAATTTAATATAAAAATTATAGTTTATGTCTTTGCAAAAAATATGTATTATTTAGAAAAGACTATTCCATTGGGTGGTACAATTTTTTCTACTTAAAATGATGATATACCGTTTTTTTTACTGATTATTCGGTTTATGGTTTAGTAGCATTTTCATGAAAAAAATAGCTTCTGTCGGTTATTCTCGACATGTCAATTTTTAAGTTAAGAAAAATATAATTGTTTTGATTTATAATTGGAAAAACTTACAGAAATCAATTACTGTATTATTGAATAATTATAAAATGCACATATTACTCATAATAAATATACGGATTTTGTATTATAACAATTCGAAAAGTCTGTTCAAGTACTGGTCCCATTTTTATAAGTATTCAAGTACGGGGTACTTTACCATATTAAATTTTTCACTGTAAAGGTAAAATTATAAAAAAAAAAACTCACAAAGAGCTTGTAATCAAATAAACTATTTTTTCAGACTCATTGCCGAGACTCAGAAGAACAAACACTTATGTCAATTCTCCTAGACGTCAAGTTTGATGACCTGAAACCTGTTAAGAAAGTCAATGCCATTGAAAAACTCGCCAGTAGTCTTGGATTACACGTCGTAAGTATCAACAAACTAAAAAAAAATCACTTCGAAAGTTAGACACTATCTATCATTCATAAACTCTATCAGGTTATGGGCCATACGCCTTTCCAACAAAATTCAAGCGATAAATTTATTGCCTCAATTAATGAGAGCAAGCAAGCTGATGAAACACGCCCCTTTAGCTTACGAAAAATTTTTTTTCAGTTTTAAGATCAGAATACTTTTGCTAAAATTGGCAAAAAAAAATTTTCTACTCTCTTTTAGAATTGTTCAAGATTTTTCAATCAGCATTTTATTGTCGGTACATTAGAAAATTTCTTGGTTCTGATTAAAATATTAAATTCAACGAGGAATTATTGATATTATATTTGAAATTAATTATTAAAATTAGCATTAATATTGAAATAAGTGAATTAATAATTATAATTATTAATGAGTGAAAAAAAATTTTTTTTTGAGGTTCTTTAGTTTTAAAATTATGTTATTAGAAGCCAAAAAAATATATTAAATAATTATTTTAAATGCAGACGAGTTACGAATTTATTTTTATTAAATTTAATTAGATTGTAAATAATTATTCAGAGAAATAATTTTTTTTTAGTTAATTTTTAAAAATGATTTTTTGTAATTTTTTTTACAAAAAAATTTATTTATCTTTTTATAAATTACGTAAAAGACAAAAAAATTGAATACATAGAATTAAAATCCAAAAAATTAGAACTAAAAACAATGAAATATTTTGAAATAAAAATTAATTAAAAATATTAACAAACCTGGAATAATGTTGAATTAAAATAAAGTCAGCAAAATTAAATTTATTACCTTTAATTTTTATTATAAAAATATATTAGGAGCCAAAAAATGATTTTTAATGATTATTTTAAATATATTAATCATTTTTAAGCTTGCAAAGATTGGCAAAAAAAATTATTCCTTTTTTTTTGACATTTATTACAAAACATTTCTAATTTTTTAAATTATCTATAAGATGACTAATAAATAAAATAAACTAATTACAGAGCGCATTTTCCATGCACGGGCGCAGTTCCAAAGAAGAAAGTGCATCAGAAGACTCCCGAGTAATTCTCACCGGTCCAGGTAACGTGAAACGCCGGAAAGAAAAGCACTCTACGTCAATCCAATGGCAGGTGAGACTAGTTGACACACTTTTCCAGCCTACCGAGTCTCCATAACTTTCATCACTCCGTCAATCAATCAATCAATCAATCAATCCTTGTCTAGGTCGGCTGCGATGGACACCTGTGGAAGCACCAAGCCGAGCTGGTCAAGCAGATAAAGAAGCAGGCTAAAGACAAGACCCTGGCGAAGGTCATCCAGCTGCCGGTGTTCCTCTGGAGGGTCAAGACCTTCTCCAACGACCTGATCCGCAGCCGCAGGGAAGCTGGATCTGGAGACTACGGCAGGAACAGCAATCGCAATCACAACAATAACCATCGTGGTAACAGCAATAATAATAATGACAACGATGATGACTACGACGACGATAACTACGACTATGACGAGTCTTATGATGAGGATCGCGATGATCGTGATGATCTAGAGAATGAACCAATTACTACTGTGCCTCCCAGGCCGATTGAGTCTGCTGAAGAGTCTCATCCTCATAGGCATCATCATGGACAAGATACTTCTATTAGTATCAAGGTTGGTTTCATTTTTTTACAAGCTAGTCCTGGAACTTTGGGCTTTTTTCGAGAAAATTTTTCTGGTTTATTTTTGTGCAAAAAAAAACAAAAGTTGGATCAAAAAAATAATTTAGAAAGTTTTTAATAGCATTTAACGCAATTTTCAAGAATAAAAATTCTTTACAAGCTCTTGAGTCGATAAATCGAAGAATTTAATAGTTATCTTAAAAAATAGAATTTTTGTGAAAAAAAAAAATTGATTTATAGAATTTGAAAAAAATTAAAAATACAATTTTTTGGAACAAATTTTTATAAAATTAAAAAATGATCAAGTTATCTTTAATATCATATTTAATTTATTAATGAAAATAATTAATTAATTAATTAAAGTTATACATAATTTAGCAGACATTTGAGTATTTTCAGAATTTTTGTACTAAATTAATTATAACAAAAAACTGGAAAAAAAAACAATTTTTTAGAATAAATTGTCTTGTATAAAATTAAAAAATGACCCAATTAACTTTAATGATATATTTAATTTATCAATGAAAAAAAAAAATAACTAATTAATTTATATACAAATATACACTACAAAAATTAAGGGATATAAAAAAAATTCTAAATTTTTGCCTGATTTTCAACGAACAATAACATCTAGGAAAATTATCGTACAGCAAAAAAAATAGCGAATTGTAGCTTCAAGTGTCTAGTTTTCAGATACGACCATGAAAATTTTTTATCATGTTTGAGTCTAGAGAAATCCTAAGGAAACTACCAAAAAAAATTTCCAAATTTTGTCTCTTCTAAAAAAAGGTTTACGGGCTTCAAAAATTTTTTTCCATTGTTTCACTCAAAAACTCTTGTAGAAAATTCAATGTCTTTTAATTTGACGAAAAAAATTTTTTTGAATTGAAAACTTTGACTGCACAAAAGACAAAAATTCGCATAATTAAAGATATTCGGATAACTTGGTATAACTTTTGATAAAATGGATGAACGAAGGATATCGTCAATAATTTTTCAACCTTAAAGTATTCCCTAAAATCCCTAAAAAATTCAAAGCACTGCAATTTTTTTTTTTTTTTTCATAGTGCTCCGAAGCTTCAAATTCTTTGTTTTCCCAAAAATCACTATTAAGAGCAATTTTTTGATTTTTGTATATTTTTTCAATGAAAAATATTTTTTTACTCAAAAATCTTCATTTTTTCGATCAAAAAGATTGATTTTTTAAGAAATTAAAAAATCTTTTTAATCTAAATCTGATTAAAACTCTTATTTCCAAAATCCAAATAAACTTTCTACTTTCTAAAATTATCCATTAAAATCATAAAGTAAAAAATTCCCACTTTTCACTTTAAATTGAAACGATTTTAATTTCCAGGCTGAGGAAGAAATCGACGAGCACGACATAATACCAGTTATCGACCGCAAATACCCAGAATCTAGTCCATCAACTTCAACCCCCACTCCAACTTCCAGATCGGTAAGTAGTTATCTTCATTTCCTTCCTATAAAATAAGCTTGACAGCACTCGATAGATTGCTTAGAGACAAACAGAAGTGGTGGATAAGAAAATAAATGAATAAAATAAATAAATTGTAACTAACATGGCATAAACATCGCAACTAACCTTGTAGACAACCGAGCAAACAAGTACAACACAAAGTACCCCACAAGAAGAAACACCTAAAACACCAGCACCACCAACAGTCAGTACAGTAACAGTGAAAACAGAGCCCGAGGAAGATGCCACCACGGATATTAACGACATTATCTCTGAAAACAACAACAACAACAACAACAACAACAATAATAATAACAGTAAACAACCAACATTGGAAGTAGAAACCGAATTCGACACCGAAACAGACACCGATTCCGAAACCACAGTAGTACCTTCGACATTCCTCACCACATTGCCTACCTCGAGCACCATTTCAGCGAGCACCGAGGAGATCAAAGCCACGACCACTGCGCCATCTACAACAGCTGCTACTGTATTCGCTGCTAACGATACTATTGATGAGGTAACGGCTTGCTATGCTTAGGCTTGTAATTAACCTTCAATCAATCCATTACATCAATTTAATTCAATTAATGCTTGCGATTTCATTAAATAAATTATAAATAACCCTTAAAATTACTTCCAGGACTTTGAATTCACCGAAAACGCCTCTGAATTCCCGACAGTACTTACAGAAATCACTCCGCTCACAACCATTCCGTCTGCCGGCCCAGACACGACTGAGCTCCAGACGTCCCCCACTCCCGCTTCTACTTCTCCCGCTACCAGTACCGAGTCCCCCACCAGGCCTATGACTGCGCAGCCTAGCAGTACGGCTAGCCCCACTCCCGCTACTTCTCCTACCACTTCTACCTCTTCTTCTACCACTACCACTACTACTACTACCACTACCACTACAACTACTACTCCCATCCCCACCACCACTACTACAGTCCCCCCTCCTACAACCGTAGCAACCACAACCGAGGAAGTTTCGACGACCGAAAAAATTGTGTATCGAGTTCGAAACTACCCACCCAGACAAGACAGAAGGCTGGAGAAGATCCGTGTAACTGCGGGCAAGCCTTTGAGCTATTTCATTCCCGCAAATACATTCAGCGATATTGAAGATGGAGATACCAGGAACTTGAGATTGAGTTTGTTCTTAAAGGGCAGTTCTCTGAAGAATACACACTGGTTGCAATTCAATCAACAGACACAAGAGGTTTACGGACTGTGAGTGAATCTTTAGTGAATCTTAATTTGATAATCTTTAGAATGTTTAATTAAAAATTCAAATTCCAGGCCTTTGAACGAGCATGTTTCCGTCTGGAACTACGACCTTTTCGCTGCAGACCGGGAAGGGCTCAATGTATCAGACCGGCTTGATATATATGTCCAGCAACACAAGCTGACACACTCAGCGAATCATGATTTCAGTATCTATCTGAGGATTGATAAGCGATCCCGCTTTCCTACATCAGTAGACTGGGAATTGAAGGTTAGAACTTGAAAAAATTATCAATTGCCCTGATAGCCACGAATTATGGACAACTTGACGAAAAGTAGTTGGCAATAAGTTTTAATCTACAAGTTATCGTAAAGTTATGGTCAACTTTACTTCAAAGAATTGTATTGAAACAATTGCCGTTAAGTTGCCGAAATTTTTTATTCAAGTTTATAAGCTTATAGATAATTTCTTTTTAAATTAAATATCGGCACTATCTTATTGTTAACTTGCATATATCGGCATTTGTAGACGACGTTAACTGAACGATAACTTGTCGCTAACTTATCTACAAAAACTTATAGTATGAGCTCGCTATTAGGGTGAAAACTTGCGTTAAGTAAGTAAATTCAATCTACGTAGCCTAATAATGAAAAAATTTAAAAACAGTAGATTTTCGGGATATTCAATAAAATAATTTGATTTAAAATTGTAAGTTTTACATGTAGGTAAATAAAGATTCCACCAGTCGTATATTTGGTTAAGAATTTAATGCAATTAACGATTTAAAAAAAAATTTTATTTTCATTGAATTTGATTGAAAAAATAGTAAGCCTTCGATTAAAACAATAAAAAAAGTAAGTTTCCGAACGTATTACGGAGATATTTTATATTTTTTACGAAAAATCACAAAGAACTTTCGTTCTTTAAAGTCTTGTATTTAATTTGGCAACACCGCTTGCGCAGTTACCCGGCGCATAAGTAACCGCGGTTTTTTAAATTCTAGACTAGAATTCAAATTTTCGCGCGTAAGCGCGCGCTTAACTATAGAGTTTGCATATATTTTCATGCTTATGATATATTGGACCAATCATGTTACGAATAGTTTGATGCCACATACATTTCTTCTCAATTTTATTATGGGATTATTATGGGATCTTAGTAATTTTAGTTAGACAGTAAACATAAATAAATTTTCAGATTAGGGAACTCTTGCGGTGTTGTCAAGTGTGTACCGGTAATTCAGAGCGCTATATTTTTTATTAGTCAATTAAATGTTAATATTTAATAATTGAGTAAATTTTTCTGAAATTTCCTCAAAAATGTTATTAATTTAAAAATTAATTTTAAGATAACAAAAGTATTTCTACTTATTATTTTTTTATAGACATTCTTTACACTAGGAGGGTACTTGGGTCTTCTTAAGGAGACCTACGCGAAGTAGTCAAATTTTTAAAACTTCTTTAAAATTTGTAAATTTAATTTATATTTTTTATTAGTCAATTAAATGTTAATAATTATTTAATGAGTAAATTTTTCGAAAATTTCCTCAAAAATCTTAATAATCAATTTAAAAATTAATTTTAAGCTACCGAAAGTATTTCTACGTATTATTTCTTTATAGACATTAAATTTCACATGCTCATTTTCTCATTTTTTTTCCAGATCATCCAAGCTCTGGCGCAGTTGTACGGTGACAAGGACCCAAGCAGCATCACAGTAAGAACAATCCAGATCAGCGAGGACCAGGCAGTTTTCACCTGGACCAACGACACCGTTCCTCCAAGCTCAGAGTGTCCTAAGGACGCGATCAACCGCTTGTACCACGTGCTGGTAGCTTCCAACGACGGAGATCCAAGCTCTTTACTGCAGCACCACTTGGGACCTGAGATCCGGGTGAAGCGAGTCTCCTTCCAAGGCCATGGCCAGTGCGAGTATGCCTTTTCGAAGAAGCCCCAGGCTCCGGAGGTCTCCACCCAGGAGCCTAAAGTCAACGACCCTCCGATGCCCAGGAACCAGGTTGACCATCTCGAGGCCCAGGTCGGACAGCTGCTGATCTTCCGAGTCCCAGAAGACACTTTCTACGACCCAGAAGATGGTCCAACGCGGCACTTGAGGCTTTCCTTGCTCCACGGTGATCGCAGCGCGATTTCGCCTGACGAATGGCTCCAATTCGACGTCAACAACCAGGAGTTCTACGGAGTTCCGATGAAGACCGACCCCAGGCGAAGAGAGTATCAACTAATTGCAGTGGACAAAGAAGGAGCTGCTGCTACTGACAATTTGGTGCTTGAAATCAAGCCTGCGGAAGCTTCTAAGGCCAGTGCTGAGTTCACTATCAAGCTAGGCGTTGACTATGACGCTTTTGTGACTTCTGCGATGATGAAGAAGAACTTTATTTTAAGACTTCGCGACCTGTTTGGAGACAAGAACACCGACGCAATTTCCCTGATGACCATAACTCAGGTCGGACACAAGAACACGATGATCACTTGGAGGAATACCACCTTGCCGACGGAGTATTGTCCGAATAAGGCAATCCAAAGGCTCAGTGAAGTTTTGTTTGTTAAGCCGGATAATAAGGAGCTGACTAATAGGATTGAGAGGATCATGGGTATGGAGTTCCCTGTTGACCAGCTGACCCTTACTCCCATGGGAATTTGCTTGGGAGAGTTTACTAGGGTACATTCTCATGATGGTGGGGATGAGGATGACGAACGAGGGGGAAGAAGAGGCTCTGGAGCACGTGGTGGAGCTGATAATGATGATTATCTGATTACCTTTGTCCTTCCGGCGATTATTATTGCGGCTATGTTGGTTCTCGCGGGGATTATCGCGTGTATTTTGTATAGGAGGAAGAGGAGTGGCAAGATGAGTGTCAGCGAACATGCTGATGAGAGACAGAGCTTCAGGAGCAAAGGGATTCCGGTGATCTTTCAGGATGAGCTTGAGGAAAAACCTGAACCAGGTTATTATTATTTATTTATGGAAAATTTTACGAAAAGTATAAAATTCCATTATTAATTGAATTATTATTTACAGTTCAATAATCTAATAGAATTTTATAATTAATAAAAATTTTGAATTTTTGATTCAAATAATTACTGTTATTAATAGAAAATTTCATTGATTTATGAAGATTCTATTAATAAAGCCTTCTATTGGAATTCTACTGAGAATAAAAGATTCTAATAGTCTATTAAAATTCTATTATCAATAGGATTTTTATTAATAGCCCATCAATGTATTGGAATTTTATAATTAATGGAAATTTCAATTTTTTAAATAAAGTAATTACCTATTATTTAGCTTTAATTAGAACATTCCATTATTGACGGAATTATTATTAATAGCCCGTGTAAAAAAAACTTGTCATAAAAGAGTCATAAGCTTATGATCCTAAACGTGAGACAATTTAGGACACTTATATGACAACTTTATGACACCAAGCCGAAATAAAATTTGGATTTTGGAAAAATATTAGAGCACTTACTAAAAAAAAAAAAATGTTGTAAAGAGTACGTTTATGACAATTTTAGAATACTTTCATGATAATTTTATGACAACTTTAGGACAATTTTATGAGACTTTTATGACAATTTTAGGAAACTTTTATGAATATTAGGATAATTTTATGACAATTTTATAACTACTTTATAACAATTTTATGACAATTTTAGGAAACTTATGAATTTTATGACTACTTTATGACAATTTTTGACAACTTTAGGATGACTTGAGGACAATTTTATGACATTTTTATGAAAATTTTAGGAACCTTTGATGAATATTAGGATAATTCTATGACATTATGAAAATTTTATGACTACTTTATGACAATTTTATGACTACTTTATGACAATTTCATGACAACTTTATGACACTTTTATGACTACTTTATGACAATTTTATAGTAGTTTTATGACAATTTTATGAACACTTTATGACAATTTTATGAACACTTTATGACAATTTTATGAACACTTTATGACAATTTTATGAACACTTTATGACAATTTTATGAACACTTTATGACAATTTTATGAACACTTTATGACAATTTTATGAACACTTTATGACAATTTTATGAACACTTTATGACAATTTTATGAACACTTTATGACAATTTTATGAACACTTTATGACAATTTTATGAACACTTTATGACAATTTTATGAACACTTTATGACAATTTTATGAACACTTTATGACAATTTTATGAACACTTTATGACAATTTTATGAACACTTTATGACAATTTTATGAACACTTTATGACAATTTTATGAACACTTTATGACAATTTTATGAACACTTTATGACAATTTTATGAACACTTTATGACAATTTTATGAACACTTTATGACAATTTTATGAACACTTTATGACAATTTTATGAACACTTTATGACAATTTTATGAACACTTTATGACAATTTTATGAACACTTTATGACAATTTTATGAACACTTTATGACAATTTTATGAACACTTTATGACAATTTTATGAACACTTTATGACAATTTTTGATAACTTTCGGACACTATAATGAAAATTTTAGGAAACTTTGATGAATATTAGGATAATTTTATG